AAAATTGCACATCTCCTCGCGTCATCCCAATGATCAATCTAAATAAAAAATGAAAAATATATTTGCACCCGAAATATGGTAAAAGTGAGTCCCCCTCCAACAATGAATCTTGACCATTGATTTGGTGAATTTTAAGATCGGCCTTTATGAGCTCAAATTTTTTTTCCTTTTTAACAGTGCTCATCTAATAATAATAAAGCTATCTAACAATTTTGGAAAAGGAAAAATCCTTCTAAGGCCTAGATCTAAGCATTTTACGAAAATAAACATCCTACATTAATTGGGCTAAGAAACATTTTGTAGGGTGCATTTTCAAATTTTGATTTTTAGTGATTGTTTATTGGAATAAAAATATTGTGTATCTAAAAATTAGGGTCAAACAAATGGTCCTAACATGGTTTATGATTATTGTTTCCTTATACTACTATACCACTGTTGCATGAGATCACTCCCCTTTATCTTGGTTTAGCTTAGCAAATGAATGAAGAACAAAATTTCAAAAAAAGGAAAAGAATTTGGTAGTACATGGAACTAGGAAGGTGTTTTGGAAAGTTTTCTTGAACAAGCTAAATGAAGCGTGTTTTCCTTTTACGAAGGAATACAATATTTTGCCGATCTTTTGAAAAATTCAAAGATTTAAACTTTTTCTAACAAGTATGAGCCCCTTACACATATGGGCTGCATAGGACCCTCTTCAATCACTGTCAAATCTTCTTGTACATCTTGATGATATATGGGGTGTAGAGTCACCTGTTAAAAGCATAGAAACCAACCGATTGAAATGGTAAATGGGGTGCTAAGTCACCCGGTAAAGAAATAAAAACTAACCGATTGAAATGGTAAAAAAAAGAAGGAAAAATCTATGCAGTTGCTCTCTCTCTCTCTCTCTAACCAAGTAAAAAGCCAACTTTTTTCCTTGAAGCTGAGCTATTGTGTATGTTCACCATTATTGCACCTATGTTTCTCAATCTAAGAACCCCCAAACTCGGCAAAAAAAAAAAAGTTAGGGTATTGCAGCAGAGAGAGAGAGAGAGAGATGAAAAGTGTGGGATTAGAGACGGAAACTTGAAACTCGACTTTTTACACATTCAAAGCTTTATTCACTTGGTTCTCATCCATTCCAAGTCACAAGAAAACACTTCTTTTTTACAAAAAACACACTGCCTATTACACACACAAATGCCCCATCATTCTCAATATATTTACGCACCTGCACACACATATACCTACCACTCATTCTCTCACATTCATCTTACACTTAGCCGGAAAACCCGAAAATTTGGCTGGAAAATTGAGAAATCAGTCGGAGATCTCAATGGATTTGACATTAGGCTTTGGGGCTTCCAACTTCGGGAACAGTTACAGTGAGAACCCCACTCTCCATGGCTGTGTTCACCCATCCACCTTCGCATTCTCAGGGAGCCTGAACCTCCTCAGAAACTTGCCCTGGCTTCTCTCGACCCTGTGCCACTTGTCGATCTTCTCCTCCATCTCCTTTCTCGCTCCACTTATCCACAGCACCTCCCCATCTTCTAACTCTACCCTCACCTCCTCTTTCTTGAGTCCTGGGAGATCGGCTTTGAACACATGGGCATTGTCAGTCTCATTCCAATTGAACATCGCATTCGAGAAAGCAGAGGCTGCCGAATCATTGGGATTGAAAAGTGAAAAAGAGGAAATGGTGTTTGTGTTAAAAGGAGAAGGGAAGAAGCCATCAAAGGGTTCCCAAATGTCAAGAGAGAAAGGGTCATAGACAATGGACCTTCACCCAAAAGTGCTTGGAATCAAAAACATTTTTTTCGCTGATGGAGAAAATTTCACTGGTTGCTTGGTGGAGAAAATTGGTTTTCACTGGTTTTTTATGGAGAATGAGATCCTATTTTCACTATCGATTGCTGCCATTGATGAGAGAGAATTGTAGACGATGGGTTTTATTCAGAGGGAGAAGGAATGTGAAGATTAAAGAGAAAGGGCAGTAGAATTTTCTAAAAAAAATCACATTCAGATAATTCCTGGTTTTCCTAGATGAGCATGCATCCCATTTACCATTTCAATTGGTTGGGTTATCTTTACCGGGTGACTCAACGCTCTATATATCATCGAGATGTGTAAAAAGATTTGACAGTGATTGATGGGGGTCCTATGCAGCCCGGATGTGTGAGGGGCTCATAGGATCATTACTCTTTTCTTTCAACTGCCAATTTTTCTAAAAACATCGCATTAAATTCGGCAATTTGCGAACTATAGGAGAGACCTAAGAAAGCTTTGGATCTAAATATGTGGAAAAAGCACACCTTTTGATGCTTATAGAAGATTAAGTAGTGAAGTTCCTTAAGCTAGGATCCAGTTTTTATAATGCATCTGGATCATAAATAGTTTTTGAGTTAGTCGTCATAGTCAAGTATCTAGAGTACTTATCCCACGGGTGTTTTCATTCTTCATGGACAGTTTCTCATACAATTCTAATAAAAAAAAGCACTTAAATCCATGTTTTTCAGTAAGTACCATGGTTCACAGTGAGATCTGTTGTAGATCAACTATTCAATTCATAGACTCTATAGCATAATATGCTCCCGAGGGAGTATTGTATATGCGCTTTCTTGCCAATAAATAAGAGATTCTTTGAAACTGAATTATGTAAAGCTTAGCTACCAACACCTATTAATTCTAAAATTTAAACACCAAGTGTACAGAAAGAAATGATAACAGGGCTCGGTTTGCCCATATCAAATGGGGCAAACTTTCCTTTCCTGGATACATACATACATACATGTGTGTGTATTCATGCAACCATTGTATGGTATCTATATAATAAAACATGCTTAAAAAAACTATGTCAGGTCTATTTGTTTGATCTCATTTTCAAACATACATTCTTTCCATTCTAATGAACAATCACAAAAAAGCAAAATTTGAAAACAGACCCTAAAAATTGTTTTTTTAGCCCAATTAATATAGGTCATCTATTTTAGTGAGATGCTTAGATCTAGATCTTAGAAGGATATTTTTCCTTTTCAAAATTTTTAGATAGTAGTATTATCATTAGATTAACAATATTAAAGAAGAAAAAAATTGATTTTGAATTAGTAAAGGTCTAGATCTTAAAAGTTACCAAATGGATGGTGTAGATTCATTGAAGGGGACTTATTTTTCCCAAAGCTATGGTGCAAATTGAATTTTTTTTTTATTTTTTGAGATTGATTATTAGAATGAAGAGAGTGTTTTTGCGAAATTTAGCATCATACAAATGCCATAGATATGGTTTTCTAGAAGTGTGGTTTCATTATATTACAATGTCACTGTGACATGAGATCATTCCCCCAAGATACATGATGTCTTGCTATGATCACAAATGCCTTGTTTTCTTAGTCAAAGAAAAATACTAATTTTGACTGGTGCAACATGTCTTTTTACTGTTTCTGCTCTAATGAGTTCATTCAAAGGATCATGGTTTGCATATTAAGGAAGTATAAACCAATAAATGTTAATCCAATAACATAGGAATAATGGACGAGCCTTTTCATCCTTTTTTTTGTTTTTTTACAACTACAATATTTTCAAAATAAGCAAGTGTTCCCAAAAAAGAAATAGTTTCCAAAAAAATTTACTCCAGCTTATTCCCCAAAATATTAGAAAAAACTTTGTATTTCCATTAATGTTTCTATTAGTTCTAGTGACTCTACTATGCCCTATAGTTTTTGGTTTGCCTTCTTTTGTATTTAGTTTTTGTCATGGGACAAGGCATAAATTAATTGTTTTAGTAATACTAAAAACTTTCATGGATACATTATCTGATCACTATTTCAAATTGTAAATTTATTGTATGGCATTGATACATATTCTATTTGTTTACTCCGTTATTTTGAGCCCAATCCAAAATATTTACGGTATTTTTACTTAATATTTACGGTATAATTTTTGTTGATCCATATTTTTTATCAATTTTTGCATCTGAAGTTTTGGACTAAAGCTGATTTAATACCTGTTTTTGGTTAGCTGAAATATATTGTTTTTCTCCACTTGCTAACTATGGTCTCTCTTATAGGAAGAACATAAGGTGAGGGAACTTGGATGTATTCTGTAAAGGGGGATTTTGGCTCCCAATACAGAGATATTTCCACATTTCTACTGAAACAGTATTATTTGGTCAAGAGAGTTATTTTTGGCTCTTGAAAATACTTCTTTTCTGATAAGCTTATCAGAAAACATAGATACTTGAGGAGAAAAGGATAAGCAAGCATAAAAGTGTGTGTGTGATTTTGCCTCTAGCTATTTACAATTATTTTTATGTAAACATGAAGCTTTATGTGTAACAGGCAGGATTACTTTTCCGACCCCCAAGAAGTTATTGCAGAAAAACAATGAAGGAAGAATACATCCCCAGCAACTGCATTTGTATTCAGTCTGTGGTTTCAATATGTGGTTGCCTTTCTGTTTCCATTCCCCAAAATTAAAGAAACCAGTCCGCTTGCATCACTCTCTCTTTCCACCATCTATGAAAACAAAGGTTTACTGACATTTGTTGTAGTGTATTTTAATGTAATGCTATCTCCTCTAAGAGAGACTCATCTCGAAAAATGCTTTATAGCCTTTGCTTTGAAACTTCATAAATGATGTTTGTGGAAAGAAGAAGAAATCAAATTGACTTCTTCCTTCTTTCCCCGTTCCTTTGGTGCGGTACTGTGGAGTTTGAACTATAAAAACTGCTGACTGTGGTAGAAAGCTCTGTTATGACCATGCTAGAGAGGTCAAACCAATCTTTAGGAAAATAAACATCATTGTTGGTGTGGATCATATGGAACCCCAGGGTCATCGACCATCTGTTCTAGTGACGATTGGTTGGCTCGACTATAGTGGGACCAACAAGGACATTCGTCAATCTGCACCGTCCAATCATCTGTTTTGTGTACCATATTAAGATGCTTCTGTTTTTCTTCTTGCGCCATGACTGTTGCCTGTTTATATTTAATGGACCATATACCGTGTATACTGCATGTGTTACATTGTTTGTATATTACAGTGTCTCTACCATCCTTTCTCAATTATAGGCAGAGGAGATGAACCAAACCTGTGCTATTGGCCACTCAAGTGAAGGAACAATAAAATGGACAGGTGGGACCAGCATGTAAAATACAAACAACATGCTACAGACTAAGAGTTTTACCATCTTTGGTTCAGTATTTTAATTATCCAGATATATTAATTCTCTTAAGTTTCATGCATGCTGGGCAGGACTTTTCGCATCTGGTCATATGTGCCTCTTTCATCATACATAACTTTCGGATATTGTAGATGCTTGGGATCAAATTTGAATCCGAGAAATTTGGTGTCAATTTTTATCTGGTTGAGGTATATCATTATAGCACTGATCGTACCGTTTGTATACCATGTGAATACCAACCATTCATTTTCAACTAGGGAAGGTTAATTACGTGTTTATTCAAATCCCTTTAGTCTCGACAGACTTCAGCAATGGGGCAGTAGATCGCAATTGTCCATTGTTAACAATGGATGGACGAAAATGCTTGCCACATTGTTGTACAGTAAATGCCAGCATAGTATGCAAGCCCTTTAGTTAACTTATTGACAATCATAGGTTTTTAGTCTTTTCAAACGGATAGGAACTTATTTGTTTACCCCATGCCATTCAATTAGGAAATATTTAACGACTTGATTGACTGCAACAGTAAAATGATTGAACATTTTAAGAAATGAATCGGAGTATGTGGAATACTAATGCATTTGTAGCTTAGAAGTGAAAGTCCCTTGAGGCTTTGGCTTACCTGTAGACATCCTAGTTAGGGTAAGGTGGCTTGCAAATGTGTTCTATAATTTGTGTTCAATGGTTTGCAGTTAAGCCGCTTGAACTTTAGCATGGTTGTAGACATCCCGGTTTGGATGAGGTCCAAGTTTCGAATCTGAAGTTTGTCCTAATAAACCAAGTGTGACAGCCTATCTTTTTTCGACACAGTTTTGGTTCTAGAATTAGTATAACCATAATTAAATTTGGCCTTAATTATCCTCATTAAGGTGAGATTCTGGGTAAGAAGGGGGGTTAAGTATGGCTTCTAAGACACCCAACTCGGTCGCAAAAGTTTGAAAATATTAAAGAGCGCAGATACTTTGATCCCTTTGGGCCATGCTCTCTGAGGTAGAAGACCAATTTGGGAAGATGTTTTTGAGCTAAAATTTTGAGAACCATAAATCACTTGAACATTCAAAAGAAAAAAATTGAATTTAAAATATTTGATGGTTTCTATGCAAACTTGAGGCTATTTTTTTTAAAGCCCATGGAGAATGCAATTTGGAATTTTTTTTAATGAGTCTAGGGTATGAGTTGAGGAGATTACATAGCCAAATTTTGGCGTCCTAAAAATACTTAGATCGGGTTTGGCCAATATATATGCAATTTGCTCCCTCGGGAGCATGAAATCTTTTGGCAATGTGAGGGTTTCAAAACTGGCTAGCCAACTCCGAACCACTCGAGGCAACTCGGACCTGGTGAGTCACCGGACTGGTTCTTGCCTGTAATTAAGCGACTTGGCATGATAACCTTTTTTTATTTTTTGACTCGGCTTGATAACCTTTTTTTATTTTTTGGTACACCAAGTGATAAAATGAATAAAAATTAATTTTGAGTTTTTTAGGACCTTTGAGATCAAATATTGATCCTTTTCTAAAAACAATCCTCACAATCATTCTTTTGATCATCAATCCATTGGTTTAATGACATAAATCAGTGTATTCTTTTCGATTTCGGCGAGGTATTAAGAGCAAAAATTCATGTTTTTTAACCCCAAAACCCTAATCCTGCATTCCAACTTGTTCTCCCTAAAATCTTAACTAAAAAAATGGAAATTTGTTTTCAAATATTGGTGACTATCAATTACCCAAGGAAATTGGTTGAAAAAAATTTAACTCAAGTGAGGTTCTGGATCCGACATTTAGGTTTTTTACCCCTGAAACCCCAATCAGGCTCTTTCTCGAATATTAACCAAAAAAATTCAAAAAATGTTACAAGCTGTAATTGAACTCACTGGCAAAGCCTCTAATAATTTGGTTCAGAGCACATTGATTTCAATACGTTTTATGAATCAATTTCGAGTTTTTTGAGACCCGAAGCCATAATCAGCCATTCTTTGTTGTTCTCTCTTATATCTCAACCAAAAAAATTTAAGTTCCTTTCAAATTGTTCCTAATCCCACTAGGAAAACCGTATATGAACTTGTTAGATCAATTACAAGATTTGAAGAATCTATGCTGAATTTTTTTAAAAAGTATTGCCTCAAATATTTGAATATATTTCATTTTATCATAATATTATTTTTAATTTATCGTACGTTTTTGTTGTAGGTTGTATTAGAATTGATTTAGATAATGGTTGTTAATATTTTTGATGAAATTGTATTTTCTTGCTAAGTTTTCTAAAAGTGTGCATTGGATTTTTGAAGAAATTTTTTTAAATATGTGTTTCTGTTATAGAATGTGGTTACGTTATAGAATGTGGTAGATAACTTACATAGTTTTTGTTGGTTTTCTCCCTAATTTCTAATAAATTCGTGTTTTTGGCTGGTTTTGTATTTTTTCGTAAAAGCTGGATTTTTCAAAAGTTTTGTTCAACATAAAATTTTAAATTTTCGTTTTTTTAGTAATCAACAAAAAAATTTTGTGTATTTTTATTACAATATTATGCATTTTTCAAAAATATGCAATATTGAAATTTATCCTAATTAATATGTGAAAATGATCGTGTTCCACTCAAACTGGAACCAAACTCTAGTTGTTCATACTTAGATAATTTTATCAAAATATGTAACATATACCTAAGTTGTTTTATGCACAAATCAATTTAATTTGATTTTTAAATTCTATAAATGTTTTTCAAACTCATATATCATCTTGATGTGCCCGAACTACTTCGAGTTCACAAGGACAGCTAGTAAATGTTAGTTTCTTCTAAAGATTGAGGATATCATTCCCCACTGATTTGCCACTTTCTTGTTCAAAAGATTGTGGATATTTTAGTAACAAGAAAAAGGATTTTTTGGGAAGCTAGAAAGTGATATCATATATAAAGGAGTCAAAGAATATGCAATACTTGTCCATTTGAGGATCACCTATCTTAGGATCCATGGGAAGAGATTTTCAAGGAGATGGGTCTCCAAGATAGAGACATAGCCTAATAGGTACAGGTGGTTTTCCCTTGGAGTTTTGGGTTGGTAAAGTTTTCATTTCTAGAAAGAGAAACTCTCTCGATTGCTCATGGCCTAATAGGTAGAGGCGGTTTTCCAATTGGGGTTTTGGGTTAGTAAAGTTTTCATTTCTAGAGAGAGAAACTCTCTCGATTGTTCTCAAGATTCTCTATCCGGTAGCAGTATAGCGGTAGGAAAGATGAGGTTTATCTATAGTATCACTCGGTCAAGAAAGCGAGTCTAGAACGGAAGATTGGTGATAGTTTTTTTACCCATGTTTAAAGAGAGGTATATCTCTTATAACCCAAAATTGTAATATTCATTGTTAGTGGATTTCTACTTGCCGAGGCCGTGGATATGACCCAATGGGGTGAACCACGTAAATCGTGTGTCGTCGTGGTGTGATTTTATTTTTGCTTTGTTTCTTACATTTGATTTATGGTTGTATTCATCTAGGTTGCAATTAGCCAACTATATACACGATTTTGGGTGGATCTCATGGAAGGACTCGTGTGATCTAGTCTGTAGTATATAATAAATTTTTTCTTTCTTTTTTTCAATTCTTTTTCTTTTCTTCATGGCCTAGATCACTCACAAGTAGTCTTTTTACAATATAATAACTTCAACTAAAATAAAAGAATACAATAGGATCTCAAGAACTTGAGGTCATTCAAAACCTTTTTTTTCAATAACAAAGAAAAGAAAATCTATGCTAAGGAATAAATAACACAATAAGCAAATAAGCAAGAAACAAAAGAGAGTGCAGGAGATTACCTCAACAGAGCTTTTTACATTTCACACCGAGTCACCACTTTCCGATGGCGTGGGATCTAATGGTCAACCTTCAATCTCAATCGTGAAAAACAAGTTTTGAACAAGCTACACCAATGGAACATGAACCCTTTGATCACACAAACTCAAACCCTAGATGAATCCCCTTAGTAACCTAGTTCGAGAGATATACTTTTCTTTTCTACCACAACCCTATTGTCTAAACTCCAAAGAGAGATGAGAGGTTATGAGAGATACTATGAGAGAGGAACCATGGATGAGACAGAGTGGAGCGTGACCCCCTTAGGTCTTTTAAGAGAGAGAGACACTTTCTTTAAGAGAGAGATTTCTTTGAGTGGAGCGTACCCCTATAGGACTTTTAGGAGAGAGATGAAAAGTTATGAGGTGTAGTGATTTGGATAGGGATCAACTCTTTTTTATTATGCTTAAACAAAATTAGGGTTTTCCTTAACTTGCCACTCATGTGAGATTGAATATGCACAATTGATCTTGGGTAACTTGTGGGGTGAGAGATATGAGCTCTCCTTCCATAGATGGGCCATCAACATCATATGGAATGTACTAGAACCATTATCCCCCTACTTCCTAAACCAGTTTCTCATCAATTAATTCAAATAAGAAATTAATGTATCATAATATTATCATTTCTTATTTTATGCATAAGTCTTCTCATACATACCAAAATATCATTCAAAATTTTCTTAATGCTTAAGCTTTCTTAAAACAACACAAACTTATCTCTCAAGCTTTAGAGCTTGATCTCACAAAATAGAAAGTCTCCCTAGATGTGGTGTGCCATCTTTTGTGGCACATAATGGGCTCCACCCACTTTGCAATGGTGGGCCCAAAAGACCTATTGGGCCTCCCATGCAATTATATTTATTTTTATATTTTTATAAATATACAAAAACATTATTTGAATATTTAAATCATTATAAAATCAATATCTCTATT